AAGAGAAAGCAAATTTTATTTCTGTTAATGACAAATATCTAGGGTATCTTTTGACATTTAAATAGACACCACTAGCAGCTATCAAGTCCAAGATCCGCTACTAAGTCGAGGCTTCTAGGTCTTTTTACACTAATTAGATTCACCATAGTGTGGTCCTGGCAACAGTGCACCAGTGACACTGACAGTTTGGGTCCTGGTCCTCCCTCAGCTTATGTATGTGTAATACTCCTGTTTGAACCTGAGGTAGTTTCCTGGTTTTGATTCCAATTCTTTCCCCTTGTCTTGAATGTATTTTTTGGCATATCTGTCATTCAACTTTTGCGTGCAAAATGAAATGATTTTTCATCTTTAAGTTTATTTCTTCAGGGAAAGTTCACCTCCCATTAAATTATCAACTTTTGGAAAGGCTCAGCTTACACTGACTATGTTTTATGGCATGATATAACATCCATATGGAATGTAATTCTTGTTTGATGCTGATATTTCTGTCTCTGTCATATTTATGGAAAACCTTCAAGAATTTCTGAATTTACATTTAAATCACAAGGAAAAGCTGAAACCCAGATGTAAGAATCCTGAGAGTGATTTTTTTTTTTTAATTTTTTGGTTTTTTTGGGTGTGGAAAAGAACTTTGGGGCTAAGCTTGTGCAATTGATAATAGCATCATACCATTGTCTGGATTTCATTTTCTTCTCCTTCCATCACTGTCTCTGTCACATTCAGAGCACATACTGTCATTAATTTGGGGAAAAGCTGTGTCAAGTGTGTATGTAGAGCTACAGAACACAGTACTATTACTGAAGTGTTTTGCAGTGCTATTGCTTTTTACTATTACTATTGGTTGAGGGGGTATAATGACTTTTGTATGACGCCTATTAATTTGGTTATCCTACTTAACACAAAAAATGTTTTAATGTTCTTTTTAATTACATATTCACATTGAATAATGAAAGTTCTTACTTGCTTTAAGCAGACACTGAATTTGCAAATATGATCCTTTCTAGTAGTTAGTCATTGCTGTAAGATCTGCCCACCTGGCTCTGACAGCAGAACTATAGACAGAAGAAAAATAAGAAAGTTTCTACTTTAGTCTACTTCGTGCCATTATACCATTATATTTTTAGTGTTCTTTCATTTCAATTTTAATATCTTTATTGTTCAATGTTCTTCCTCAAAAATTCATAGTTGACTTAATTTTTTTTTTTTTTTACTCAGCCATAGACATACATTCAGGCTGTATGGCACATGCTCCAGTTAATGATCTTAGAGGAGATACACAGCAGACTGCAGATGATCTTGTTTCTGCTGAACACACATGGTAGAACATAGATTACTCTGAGTATTCATTTGCCAAAAAGACAAAGATTAACTGATCCACAGTAAAATCAAAACCTCTATGTAGGAAATTTTATAGGGAAAACTATAATAATTTACTCTATCTTCTACTTTCCTCAAGAATTTTTTTGCCATTTTGTGTATAAATTTTACAGACATAGTATTCGTATTGAATTATGAATGCTATGGCTCACCTAAATTCTATGCATATATAGGCAAATCCCTAAACTGCTAGCCTTGTCTTCTCAGCTACCCAGTCCCCCGAGAAAGCCAATTTTCTTTCATGTCTGAACAAAAGAAAAATGTACTATTAAAATGCAATTCAGAAGTGATAAAAACTGCAAGTGGAGCAGCCGGCTCACAGCACCTTCAATGTATTCTCTGGGACACTGGGGCCACATTAATTTTTGTGCGTGTGTGATGTCCATCCCATGTGCAAATTAGCATTACAAGTACCATAATCTGTCTTATGTGAGAGTGTCCTTTCCCATGAGCATACACATGGTACTGTAGCTTGGTATAATTTTAAAGTCTGCTAAGTCAGTGTTTTTCTTTTGCTAACTTTACATGACATTTGTGGTCCTTGATAGAATAAATCGATATAGCTGGTAATATTCTAAAATAGTTTCTTTTTATGAAGTGGAGAGACAGACATGTAATTTAAAAAAAGAAACACTTAAACAGTTGCTGATGGATCAGTTAGGCCAAATAAATAATTTTCTGAGTCTGTATCAGCTGACGAAGAAAGGTACTTTAATCTCCATCTTTATCAAAAACTTGTTTGACTACCTAATTCTTATACTGACTCTGGATTCTGAAAAGCTTTAAGCTAGGAAAAGGTTTTAATTAACTACAGCTGTTGTCATGGCAGTTAAAGTGGTGTTTTAAACTTCTGAAGTATTTCTAATTTTACTGTATTATATTTTTTTCTGCTGTTTTAGAATAAAGAACGCGTGTTGCTTTTTGGCATACCAGCAACGATAAGCTTAATTCACAAGATTTTACTTTATGTGCTTGTTTGTACTCTTGCAAACTGAAGTAGGTGGAAATAAGATGTCCTTGTAGGGTCTGTTGCAGATCCTTTACATATAAGAGGTCTTTCACCTTCCTCCATACCCAGAAAAATCTGTATTTTTCCGTAAGAGTTAGAGACATCCATCTGAAAACTTCTTCCATGCCCAAAGAGAGCAGCTGGATCTTCACTGTTCAGTAGCATTATGTAAGTAGGGGGTCCACAATCAGTATGACCAAAGGTTAAAGAATCAGGCCCCAAAAGATTGCTAATTAGGACATAATTATACCTTGAGAATAACGTGCACAATTTGTGATTTCACAAGAAATCATTTCATTGCTTTGTGATGTGGCAATATGTGAAAGTCACCAGTACTATTTGTGTAAGTTTCGATTCTGAGATTATGGTTTATTAACTTTGGTTAACAGATATCAAAGGATGCATACCTAGTTTAAGGTACAGGGAGCAAATATGCCTGTTTATTCTCATAATGCTGTCACGCTTGAAATGTTTCCACCTGATGGAATGATCAGGTTGAGGTTATGTGTTGAAGCCTACAAGCCTTGTAAAGTGGATGCAAGTTCTCCAGAAATGAGCTCTGTACTTGTGCACATTGTGGGGCTGCCACTGACAGCTGGCACAGACCTCACTGTCTGAGACTTGAGGTGTCAACATGCAGATCCTAGCAAATTGAACCCTGCTTATTCTCTCGTCACATCACACTGGTTGGTAGTGCAGATACAGCCAAAGTAATAATCTAATAATGCAAGTGAACCAAGTTATATCTTCATACAGAAAGTCTTCATTTTATCATGCTGAAACTTTATATTTCTTTGCTCCAAATTTAGTTTAAAAGCAGCTATAGGAGAAATTGCAGTTATCTTCTCAAAATACTGAGGGGGAACATTGAGAAGGTAGTGGCAAATAGTAGGAACTTGTGTCCATGTCACCTCCTGTAGTGCTGGTATGTATGACTGACTTACGTCAGTTCCATGGCATCTAGAGTAGACCATAACTGATTTTTAAAATATTATTGAATTTCAGATTTCTGCCGTTTTCTTCATATCATAAAAATGAGAAGTACGACCCATCAATTCATAGGTCAGGCAAATATGTCCAAGAAACTTACGGAGTTAAACACTTCCGAGAAGTACAGCCTAAGAAGTGGGTAGCAGACAAGGTAAGTCACTCAAAAACTAAAGAATGGTTTACTTTTTTAGACTGTTACTGTATTAGAACTAAGTGAATTTGGGCCTCATCCAGAGATCATGGAATCCCATGGGAATCTTTCTGATGTGTTATGAAATCACACAGTATAGAGCTGATATGATGACATATCAGGCTTCCTCGACTCTCTTTCTGTTAAGTTCTGTTTGAGGAAATTCAATACCTCTCCCACCTACAAGATAAGGTTTTAAAAGCCTGATTAAATAAAGCTTTGGTTACACAAGTTTTGCAAAGTTTTGTTATATCTATATTGCCTTTTCTGATTTAAGAGAGATTATGTATTCACTCTTGCACATTAAGATAAACCTTCAGAAAATCATGGCAAGACCTGATTAAAAACAACTAAATATTTTACTTCTTACATTCTTTGGAGAATTTCAGAAATTAGTGAAGAGCCTTCTTTGTTTTAAGGTAGTCTCATTAAACTGCCTTCTTTGTCAGGAGTATCTCATATATTTCTGATTTTGTAGTGCTACAAGAGGTAATTTTCCTTGGAACATGTTCTAATGTGAGCTTGTGTAATGTTTACATTACTTCTATTTGTTTTGGGTATCATAATCACATTAAAATTTCCCAATACAAGAGGGATAATGGACTTGGTAGTGACAAAGATAGTTAAAGGACTGGAGCATCTTTTGCATGAAGAGAGTCTGAGAGTGCTGGAACTCAGCTTAGGGGAAATCTTATCTATGTGTATAAACACCTGATAGGAGGGAATGAAGAAGAAGGAGGCAGACTCCTCTCAGACTCGGTAGTGTCCAGTGGCAGGACAAGAGGAATAGACACAAACTGAAATGCATAAAATTCCATCGAACAGAGAAAACGAATGCTTTTTTTTTTTTTTTTTACTGTGAGGGTAACAGAGCACTGGCACAGGTTGCCCAAAGAGGTTGTGGAGTCTCCATCATTGGAGGTATTTGAAACCCAACTGGACATGTTCCTGGGCAACCTGCCCTAGATGATTACAAGGGTTGGACTAGATGATCTCAAGATGTCTCTTCCAACCTAAACAATTCTGGGATCTTGTAAGATGTGATTACTTATTGCCCTGAAAGTAACTTGACCTTTGTAAACATATAACAAGTTCCAAGGTTTCTTAGTTTGACAAGTAATATTTTTTTAGAAGAATTTTTTCTCAAAACTTTTAAGCTTTAAAAATGACCTCAGAGTAAAGTTTTGGTATTTTAACATACATTAATTAAATCTCATTGCAAATAAAGGCACAAAGATCAACATTCGAGCAAAAAGATCTGAATTTGTCTTTCAAAAGCAACGAGTGGAGGATATACTGGCTGAAGTCCCACAGTATAAATATGATACATAAAAAAGATCTTAAAGTCTTATTGTTGGTACTCATCTTGCCCTTGTAAAGACTCTTCCTTTTCCAGTCCTTAGCAGTTCTTGATCAGGCTCAGCTGACTATACCAAACAATGTAAAGGTATTTGTATTGTATATCATATCACATCACACATATATCATATTATATAAATTGTGGTCTTAGCTGAAACAACTAAACTCACTTTACTTGTGATCTTGGATAGTTTTCAACCTAAATATCTGGAGGTGAATAGCTGTATGCATTAACCCAACATGACATACTGCCTTCCAACCCCAATTCTAAATCAATATGAAGCTTCAATTAGGAGCTGCTTACCCAAACAGAGAGATAAGAGGAGAAAAGAGCTATTTATGACCTACCTTCAGCTTTAATGGGTCATTATTATCAGGAAAACCCCCAAAACTCCACCTCCTCGCAATATTTTAATGGAAAAGGTTCTATAGGCAGGTGTGACATGGTCATAACCATTACTGTTCATAACTGTTACATTTGAAAGAACTCCCTGTCCCTTCTTATTTCTAAACTGTATTAAAATTCGAATATATCAGTGCTATGAACAAAATTGCCCTGTTCTAATGAATCACCAGGCTAAATGGCATGTATCGAAATACTACCAAAAAAAATCTGATTTTTGCTTAACACTTTGTCTGCTAAACACAACAATCCTTTGAGTTTCCCATGAAGTGATATTTTTATGGATACAACTTATATTATAACCTGAATAGCTGAAAACCCTGCCGTGATGTATATTCAGCTTCTGATAGTATTACACTAGAGAAGTTTCCCTTGTCATTGCTGATAAGACATACTACTGCGTAAGTTCTTCCAAGGAGTCAGTTCAGTGGTCAGTGGATCAGTGATCCCTCTGAGCTGCTGAGGTATTATTTGATATTAGCTGGCTTTTTTTTTTTTAAGCTACATATAAAAAAGTTCCCCTGTGTATGTTCGAGAGCATATCCTAGTAGTATTTTCTGGATGTTTTCATGTGCTTGTAAGTATGCATTTTAATTCAAGTCACAAAAAGATTAGTATGTAAATTATGATTACTTTAGAAATAAAATGAACAACAATGAAAAATATTGCCTTGTTATATTTCTTCTGGAAAATGAAAGGGTATTAGCAAAGACTTCCTCTAAACATAATAATTAGCATATCTATGGGAGGAAAAGTTAATAGTTCTTCTTTTCATTTAGTTATAATCTGAAAATTTTTATCTCATTCTGTTGATATTTCAAAGAAGTTTGAGTTGAGGGAAAAACTGTTGTATTCAAATTCTTCATTAAGAGTAAACAAGAAATGAAAATACTATACCTCTAGTGAAACTGAATCTACTGAGTTTACCCTGTTGTAAACTGCCATAAAAATAAAAATGCTTGCATATTTTAAGTTCAGTATCATATGTCTAAACACATTGGAATGCCTTTGATAGAATTTAGGTGAGAAGTATCAATATAATAAATTTACCAGTCTATATGATTTTAATCGACAATGGTAGATTCCAACGTAGTTGGACAGTCAAGGGATCACATACATGAACTATAATCTTTCAGTTGTCAAAACACTCACATATGTTCGTATTTACCGAGGCAGAAATGATAGCTTACAACCTTTAATTGGTATTGGAATTAGTTTGCATATGCATTTTAGAAAACTGACTTTAATGACAGCATTTAATATTTTCTTATTTAGAAAATTCAGGAAGTGACATTTTAAGATGTTCCTTCTTGATAGATCTTTCATCTGATGCCTTATTACAGGTGAATTACAGTATGACTGTATCACTGTTTCATTATTTGCACAGACATTTTGGTCCTAAACAGAATTTTATTATCTACAAAGCATAAAAATACTCAGTACTGCAAAGAATTAATTTAGAGAACCTAAGCATATTGCACAGAACATAAAGTTGACCTTTACCGTCTACAGCTTTTGGAATGGAGTGGGATGTGGAACATATCATAGATTTAATGTGGCACAACGCTGTCTGCAGAAACTTGGGTGGGACTGTGACTGCCTGCCCATTGCACCCGATGATTGAATCTGCTGTCACCAGCATCCTGATAATAATGAACATTCAGCTTAACGACCGTGATTATGATTATCATAATTGATGTGCAAGTGCAGTGTGTGGGGATCATTACAGCTGAACTGTACAGCAGAGAAACATGCCTTAGTTATGGATAATTTTACTTTTATGCATTGATTGGGATAAAATATGCCTTTCAAGTTCAACAGGCCAGCTTAATATAATTTTAGGAAGATTTCTACATGTATGAATTGATGATTATGAGCTTCCTGCAAAAGTCATCCTAGCTGTTTGTTTTGAATTGTTTCATTCCATTAATATGGGAAATAATTAAATAATTGGATGTTGTCGAGTGGAAATCACTTCTAGAGTACTGCCAGCCTTAATCAAATATCAAGTTCAAATATTTCTGTTTGTCATGGACTTGCCTAGGCTAGGAAAAATACCCTTTGTAATTCACCATGAACGCAAGCCTATTTTTGGTGAAGCAGTAGAAATTGGGCTGTAGTCAACATGAATGGCATCTTCGCACTGTGTTGTGTAGCAGTTACAGCAGGCAATATTTGTTCCTTATATAAATTGTATCACTTACATCTTTGTCACCAGAGGCAGAGAATTACAGGCTCAAATTCAGCCACTGTAGATATAGGTACAATCAGCAGCTTCAGTCGATTTTGTTGGACAGTGATTGCCTTTAACTGAGATTATACGAAGTTGCAGAAGTATTTAATTAAATCATGATACATATAACAGACTAACACCAGTGCGTGCATGTATTTTAAGGCAGAATTTATGTAAAGAATGTTACGACACAAGCATAACGCAAAGTATAGAGTTTCATTGCCAGTCCAAGAACTAGCAGAAATTTCCTATCTGCGATAACAGAGATAACAGCCTATGGAAAAAATTCTTGATCTTTGTCTTAGTTTTTACCTTAAAGAAGATTGTAAGGATCAAATCTCCATGCATTTCAACTGCATAATGCCTCTCACGTGACTTCACTAAGTTTAGACTTTCTATGATGAAAAAAGAATGTCTTGGGTGCCAAGGATCTTATCCTATTTTATATAGTCTGCTGCCTCTGAAAGTTCAATAGCCTCTGTGATTTTCATTGTTGCTCACATCACGGCCCAAGTGGAATCACATTATGAAGTAGGGCATGAATTTGCAGATATATGGGAAGACGTCCACAAAGAGAACCTAATAGGGCCTGAAAATGTCAGTACCTTAGAAAGTGAGTGTGACTCTTCTACATGGCCGTGGCCAACCCACTTTTTTCCACATTCTTCTGAGACCATGGTGTCCTGCAGTACCACAGCAAATTTATCTTTGTATAGTGCTAGTGTGAGGGAAAAATAGGGTGGGAAGTGGGGGAAGTGATTTATTCTGTTTGAAAATTAGTTTCATCCCTTGCAGATCAACAACATACAACAATCATGTGTCTAGAAGACGATGTCATGTGGTTGAATTGTTTGATACACTATTCATGCTTTTCCATCCCTCACTATACTGAAATTTAGTTAAATTTCACCTTAACTCCATTTTTCCTAACCTTGTAGTAATTGAACTTGAAATAGATATAACATA